CAGGGGGAGGGCCTTCTCTGTGGGTGCCCCTGCCCTCTGGAACGAACTACCCCCCGAGATCCGGATTATTCCGGATCTCCTTACTTTCCGCCGCGCCCTCAAGACATGGCTTTTCCAACAAGCGGGCCTGGCCTAGGGAGGATTTTTAAACTGGGTTTTTTAGAAATTTTAATTATCACAACACAAAAATTTTGGTTTTTATTTGGTTTTATTCGGTGGGGTGTGTGGGTCTTTCTTTGTTTTAATAATGTTGTGAGCCGCCCTGAGTCCTTCGGGAGAAGGGCGGGATATAAATTGGAATAATAAATAAATAAATAAATACCCAGTAATTTTTGAGCTGTCACTTATTTGAGCCAAGTTTTTAAATTAAAATTAAATAATGATGCAACTGGTTGCTATGGTTAGAGTAAAAGTTATTCCCCCTGTGTACAAATGTAAAGTGCATTCACTACTAAACCCAAGGAATGTTTTCCCCCTGCCGCCAATACATATGGTGCTTAAAGTGCCCTTATAAGAAAATATTCATAGCAAGCTGAATTGACTCCAAATGGCAATAGGGAGAGGCTTAGTTGGGAACCTGTGGCTAAGTAAACCTAATTGTTTCTATTAACTGAGAGAGTACAGCTGCCATGCTGACCTAGTAGAAAAAGACAGAGTCACTTTGGTCTAGTAACTGAGAGGGACCTTGGAGTCCTAGTGGCCGATCACTTGAATATGAGCCAGCAGTGTGCAGCAGCAGCCAAAAAAGCTAATACAGCCCTGGGTTATATAAACAGAAGCATAGAATCAAGATCATGCGAAGTATTAGTACCGCTTTATAAAACCCTAATGAAACCACACGTGGAATACTGCAGCCAATTTTGGTCACCATATCACAAAAAAGATGTTGAGAGTCTGGAAAAAAATCAGAGAAGAGCAGCTAAGATGATTCAAAGGCCTGGATATGAAAAAATATGACTGTAGGACTTGGTTCTGGCTAATCTAAAGAAAAGAACAGTATTCCAGTATTTGAGGGGCTGCTACAAAGAAGAGGGGCCAAATTATTCTCCAAAGGATCAGAGGACAGAACAAGAAACAATGGTTGGAAACTGACCAGAGAGAGAAACAACCTGGAATTAAGGAGAAACTTCCTAACAGTGAGGACAATTAACCAGTGGAACAGCTTGCCTTCAGAAATCAAGGGTGCTCCATCACTGGAGGTTTTAAGAAGAGACTGGATAGTCACTTGTCTGAGATGGTATAGGTCAGTGGTGGGAAACCTATGGCATGGGTGCCAGAGGCGGCACTCAGAGCCCTCTCTGTGGGCACGTGCACGTCGCCCCAGTCCTAGGCCTTCAGCTGGGTTTTAGAAAACCTTTTTGCTTTAGGCCTCCGCAGCCGTGTGCAAAAAAAAAGGTTCAATCAATCAGCCAATTTCAACTTCTCGCGGGAAAAAAAAGATCTTGCAAAGTTGGAATTGATTGATTGAACATTTTAGTCCCACCCAGTCTGCCGTTACCACTGCAGCCACGCTCACCCAATGGGCCACACCCACCTGGCACCCAACAATGCATAAGTGGGTTTTGGGTTGCAGTTTGGGCACTCGGTCTCTAAAAGGTTCGCCATCACTGGTATAGGTTCTCCTGCTTGAGCGGGGGGCTGGACTAGAAGACCTCCAAGGTCCCTTCCAGCTATATTCTATTCTAATGGTTAAGGCACCAGGTTAAAAAGTGTGAGTCCATGAATTCTAGTCCTGCTTTAGCCATGAAAGATAGCTGGGTAATTTTGGGCCAGATACTCTCTCTCAGCTCAACTCACCTGATAGGATTGTTGTGGTAGGGAAAATAGGAGGAGGTAGGATGTTGAACATGTTTGCTGTCTAGAGCTATTTGTAAAAATAAATGTGGGATACAAATAAATAAGTAAGTAAGTAAGTCACCCATATGGGTTTATCTAAAATAGTTCAACATCACACTGTAGATAATGGGCACTAATATATAATACATAATATAAGCTCTGTTTTTATTGTTGCTCATGGCCACTCAGTAAAGTATCAAAGCTTCGCTGAGTATCTGGTATACAGTATATGATTGCTTATAAGCATGCCAATAAAATTACGTTGTATCTTCAAAGTTATTTGTTTGCTTTAGACGAGCCAGATTTGGGCTTCAACAGTACATCTGTACCTATATACATAATATCTATTCTGTGAACAGAGTTTTATTCTAGCCCTTGTCTCTCAACACAAGAGTTCTTCAAAAATGTGAAGGGGAATTCCTCTTGCCTAGTCTCATTCTACTGCAGATGTGGTTTAGTAGAAATTTAAATACTGACTTTACAGGTTTTTTTTCCTGAACTGGAAAAGAATTTGATTCTAGAGTCTTTCAATTTGAATTAAAAAAAATTGAGAAGGAACAAAAAATTAAATTATTTATTCAAAAACAAACAAAATACTTAATATAGTGTATAAAATCATATTTGCAAGAATTTGTACAGGATGCTATATTGCAGGCTCTCCAGCTCTGGGGTACATTAGGCAAGAATTCAACTGGATACCTGTTTCCTGCTTGTCACAGGGATTTGATCAACATATACATTTCAGGCATATTTAAAAAAAAAAAAAAAAGTCCGGGAGAGATTAACATAATATATATACATGAGGTGACACAACAATAAAAATGGACAACTCTACTGTGCATTTAAATATATATAAAAATAAAAATTATGTTTAGCATATTGATGAAAAAATGAAGAAATAACAAAATTACAGAAAGAGGAAAGAAATTGTTAAGCAACAGGTTCTCGTTACATGAGTGTGAAAACAAATCTGTTTTTCTTATGTTATTTGTAGCACATAGTGTTATTCTTAGCATTTAACTGCAATCATTTAATATATACTAACTTCTTTCAGCAGCCCCTACCCCCACACAAACCCCAATGGTGATGTGATCACATTTTGGGTACTTGGCAATAGGCTCCCCTTTATAGCTGTTTGCAGTGTCTTGTGATCACATGGCTCTGATTTACAATATGTTTTTGCCAGTCTCTGGCATTTATTTCTGATTTCTGGCAAAAACACTCATTAGGAAAGTGAATTCATTTAACAATTATATTTCCACTTAACAGTCGTATCTTCAAACTGGTCATGTGATGGCTTGACTTATGACCATGACAACTTGTGACTATAATTGCAGGTTCAGTTATGGTTGTAAGTTGAGGATTATCTGTCATAATGACCCAAAATTTTGGTGACTTTGCATAAGATACTTTGCATACCGAAAGCACTGCTGGAATCAATGCCTGAAATTGCACAATGACCAAAAGGCAGAAAAAACTTCTGATTATTGTAAAATGAGGATCTTGATGTCTTATCCATATTTCTGCCTCTTCCAACTTCTCTCAGGGACCCCCATGGCTCTCAAGCTACTACCTAAATCTAGCACCAAGCTCCAGAATTTCTTATATGAATACTGTGTGGCACTCTCACTTTCTGCACATCCTGCCATCATTGGTATGTTTGGCATTGCTATAGAGTCCAGCCAGCATTATGGTTTTCTCTATGAAGCAGCCTTTCATCGAGACCTTATCTCCATTATCAAGCCCAAGGTAAGCATATTTTTATATTTCAAGGTTAAAAAAATAGTATTATTATTAGATTTTAGATTTACTGTATATTTTAACATCTACAATTTGTTAATTTTAGATTTTAATGATAATAATGACTTGAACATTGGGCACTATTTAACAAAATTAAATTCAATAGTGACAAAAAATAAAGTTCTACATTTAGGCAAGAAAAACCAAATACACAGGGGTGTGTATATGGATGATACCTGAGTCAATAGTAGTAACTGTGAAAGGGATCTTGGAGTCCTAGTGGACATCACTTAAATATGAGCCAGCAGTGCATTGCAGCTGCCTAAAAAGTCAATGCAGTCCTAGGCTGCATTAACAGAGGGGTAGAAGATCCCCTGCCTGGTAGCAGCCACTGCCTCCTCCGCCAGTGGTAGGCTCCCTACATTGCCTCTGGACTGACAGTTTCGGACCCCTGGCCCTCCTTCACAGCTCTGCCCATATAGCCACGGGAGAGTTATACTAGGGCTGATGGTGGCGGCGCTCGGAAGACTGTGCTGCCCTGACTCCAGCCACCAACTCTCCTGTGGCTATGTGGGCCTCCAGAGCTGCCACCATTGAAACCATACAATACAGGCAGTGTGCTGCAGTGCTGCAGCACAAGTGGCAGGTGGTGGAGGAGGCAGTGGCTGCCAGACAGGTGATCTAAGGGCAGGGCAGGATGAAGCGAGGCTGGTGGGCAACGAAGAAAGCCCTCCAGTGGTGGATGCGGCTGATGCACAGTGGTAGTGAGGGCCTTTTGCAGTCACTCCGTGGCTCCGAAACAGTGGAGGTGACCAGGTATGGTGACTGAGCCTTCCCTACCCATCCTCCATAGCATGGCAGCCCAGCTCGGGAGGGGAGTGAAAGGGAAGAGGCGGGTAGGCAGCTGGGTCAATGAACAGGTGAGGAGAGGTCACCGAGCGGGGAGTGGTTTAGCTGTGGGGGCCTCACCTCAACTCATGGCAGTGACACCAGCTTACCACATGGCCTCCTGCCCCATTGCAGCCACAAGGAACCAGATGGTGGGATGGAGTGGGCAGGTAGCCACAAAATAAGACATCCTCCGAAAATAAGCCCTAATGGGTCTTTTGGTCCAAAAAAATATATATAAGACCTGGTCTTATTTTTGGCAAAACACGGTAGAATAGAAATTTCCTGACAGTTAGAACAATTAATCAGTGGAACAACCTGCCTCCAGAAATTGTGGATGCTCCAACACTATAAGTTTTTAAGAAAAGACTGGACAATCATTTGTCTGAAATGGTATAGGATTTCCTGCCTGAGCAGGAGGTTGGACTAGAAATCCCTTCCAACTTTGTTATTCGGTTTTATTTTAAGATATGTATGTATTGCTGCGATCATAGCATACTTAAAATAAATCAACAAATCAATATAGAATGTGTTATAAACTATGGGTCAAGCACAAAGTATGAGATGAGGAATTTTGACCTTTCAAAATTTTTGAAATTTTGAACTTTGACCATTCATGATGATGAACGATCATAACGATCAAGAGTTTTGAAAGCTTTTTTCAACAGAATCATGTGATGCCGAGAATAAGTCCAATTTTAATTGTGGTTGAGATGGGACCCGAGTTGAAGAATAGAAAAAGGCTTGAATTTTAACTATTACAGACCTGTGTTTCTCAACCTTGGCAACTTTAAGGTGTTTTCAACTCTCAGAATTCTGGCTGGCTGGGGAATTCTGGGAGTTTAAACCTTTAAGTTGCAAAAGGTCGAGAAACACTGTTATAGACCATTGAGAAGAACTAATGGATTAAAAAAATGTTCTTCTGTTATCCATCTAGGCAGGCATTCCTGAGAAGGCAGCCAAGCTCTGCGCCAAGCAACTAGTGAGCGCATTGGACTTTATACACAGTCGGGGCCTGGTGTATCGAGATGTTAAACCAGAAAATATCCTGCTTTTTGACCGTCACTGCCACTGCATCAAACTGACAGATTTTGGATTGACCCGACCTCAAGGCACTCTGCTGCAGCTTGTGACTGGGGTCATCCCTTACACTGCACCTGAGCTGAGCCGTGGCACCACTGGCACCCCAGGCTTACCCATCGATGCCAGCCTTGATGCCTGGGCTCTCGGGGTGCTGATCTTCTGCCTGCTCACTGGCTACTTTCCTTGGGAAAAGACTCTGCCAGAGGATTCCTTTTTTGATGACTTTGTGATATGGCAAGAATCAGGTTCAGATGAAGATCTGCCATTTCACTGGCGTCCACTGTCTCAAGATTGCATTGCTATGTTACAAAATCTTTTAGCCCTGGAGCCTACTAATCGTGGCCCCATCCGCCAAGTACTCAGCTACCTGGATCGGCCATGGCGAGCAGATGTGGCTGCTAAAACTGGCATCTGAGCTGAAATTTATCTGAGTGAAATGGGGGTGGAGGGAGGGAGGCAGAAGTCCCCCCCTCATTATTATGTATTTGCAAAAGAAAAGAAATGCTATACATTGGGTAATTAACAACAGTCCTCCACATATACCTGTTGAATGGTTTGATTTTATTGGGAAGAGTCTAAATCAATGCATGTGATCATGTTGAAGATGATTATAAAACATAAAGGTAAATATTTTTGCATTAGTAAGTTGGAATTTAAATTATGAAAATATATCATTTATCAAAATGCTACTTCATACCTTGCTGGTAATCCTAATTATATATAAACGAGTTTGGTTCATATATGTGAATATATTCTAGTAAGCCAGAATGCAGTTTATCTGAGTTTCAGCTTAGGCTGTCATTGTGCCATTGTGGTTTGTTAACCATTGTTTATAGTTTAGATAAGAAGCCATGCTTAAAAACCTATGGCTTAGCATTATATGTGAACCTAGTCAATTACTGGTTTCACACATTGTAGTCATACTTGCTTGGTTTTGGCTTAATTTGCTATGGATCCAATAACAGGAGGTTTTTTTAATGGCAGAGATGAACAACCTGCAAATCCAGGGCTACATATGGATTCTCTTTTGTATTAGAAAACCTTCTTTAGCACAATTACCAAAATATGTATGACTAAGTTTCAGGCCAGGAGTGAGAAAAAGTGCAGTAAACATATTTAATACTCTTTCCTTCTCCTATTTTCCCCAAAACAACAACCCTGTGAGGTAAGTTGGACTGAGAGAGTGATTGTCTAAAGTCATGCAGCCAGCTTTCATGCCTAAGGTAGAACTACAACTCACAGTGTCCTGGTTTTAACTTTGTGCCATACTGCTAGATAAAGGTTTCTCTATCTTGGCAAATTTAAGATGGATGGATTTCAATTCCCCGAGTTCAGTTCAGTGTTTTACAGTTGCCATGCTTGTAAACACGCTAGTTGAAACTGGCTCTTTTTAAATATTTTTTTCCCAAAATGGTATTTTTACAGTTATATGAACTGACTAGCTAACTAAAATAACGATTGTGATCTCATTCATTTTAGTTAATTGTCCTGTTTCCTGGGATCCTTTGCCTATAAATGGGAATTATGGCTCAGATAAATCTTGCCACAATGATTTAATGCAATGTGTTCAATGTAGGTGACTTCAAAACTTAATCTTGAATAGACTTGTTTATATAAACCCAGTCAATTTGGATTTACCAGCCATGTGGGCACAACAGTGGAGAACCCATTTGTATAATTATTTGTGTGTTTGTATATATGTGTGTGTGTGTGTGTGTGTGTGTGTGATTGCACATTGTTTTTCTCAAACAAACCATGCTTTTTTTTCAGAAGAAGCACAAGATAGCTTTTCCTAGATTGGCATTTTCTAGATTAGCTAATCCTGAGCCAAGATGATTAAGAATTATGATGCTATGGCCTAATATTTCTAGAGATTGAGAATGGTTGCATTACAGATAAACTAGAGGTGTTAATAAATGTTTTTAGTAATTTGATTAAAAAATGGAAATGTTAATTTTTTTGCAGTTCAGTTGTACATATATCATGACAGTGAGGGACAGAGATAAATTATCTTTCTTTTTTAATTAGTGTCTTTGAACTCTAAGGCATTGTAAGATCTCATCTGTTCTCACTGGACAGTCACGGAGAAACCTCTCTTTCTACAGGCTCCTCCATTGTTCCTGTCATCTTTCCTATCTGCATTATGAAAGTATAACACCATTCATTCATTCATTCATTCATTCGTTCGTTCATTCATTCATTCTTTTGTGTTTATTAAACAAACATAGTTTATATGGCAGCCCACCTCACACAGGTGATTCCGGGCAGCTTACAACATAAAACCATAATATGAAAACCATTGCTGTGCTGCAGGCGCAGGAAGATGTCTTTCACATCCGAATTCGTTCTGCTGGGGACCCTGGAAAGGGTCAAAAGTCACCCTATAAGGGCGACAAGCAAGGAGGGGACCCGTTTGATCGCAGGAGGGCGGCGGCCCTTCCATTTCATCCGGAGAAGCCCTCCAAACCGGCGGGGGAAAGACCGGCCATACCAATATGTCCCGTCACTAAGCTGCTGACAGCTGAAGTCAAAATCACCACCAAGCACCTTTAAAGCAATGCGGATGAAACTGGGTGAGATCTGATCCTTAAGATTTTAAGTATTTTTTTCCGGTAAAAGATGCCCAAAGTATTTTCCCCCCTGTGAGGAGAGAGGGAAGGGAATTTCTACCCCACCTTCTAAGAAAAGAGCAACTAACTACCCAGGGGAAACAGAGCAACTATAAGAACAATTTTAATCTAATTGGATGTATATTCTTTTGAAACCTGGGGACTAAAAGTGTTCCTTCTTTCATGGGAGACATTTGTTTTTTATCTAAAAAAAGAAGTAAGACTTGAAAAACTACCATACAAATTTTGGACTTAAAAAGCTTTAAATGGCATCAGTGACATTTTGTGACGAAGTATGGGATTACAATTTGTTATTGCCTAAAAGAGACTTGGCTTGAAGCCCAGACTCTAAAAAAAACTTCTCTGACCTTGACAGTTACCATCAGTGAAAAACCCAGCTGCAAAGAAGGAACTTCTGGATGGCATATCTGGCCTGTTTGAACTATGAATGTAAACTTTTACTGACTTTCAGAGCTATACTTGGGGAATTGCTTTCCTATTTCTTTACATGAGAAGTATATGTTATTATACGAGATGATAGAATACCTTGGACTATAAACTCTTACTTGACAAACCATTTCTACTATAAAGACCACCTATAACACGTGAAATAGATGTCCCATACCCAGCTACAAAAGACAAAAAATTATTTTTAACGTTTGATTCTAAAGTCTTCACCTTAATATACTAACAAGAGAATATGGATGAAAATCAAGAAAAAATCCTTTCCATGTTGAAATCAATACACGAAACCATTCTTTCAGCTTGTGACAAAATAAAAAGAACATAAAGGAACAAGATGACAGCTTAAATATACAAACCCAGATTTTGACTACAACCAAAGAACTAAGAGTGCAGAAAATAACAGGAAAATTGGAACAACTAAACACCAAGACAGAGGAAACCAACTGACCAACAGACCGAGCCAACGGAAAAATCAGAAAAGGGAGTGAATACTGAAACTGAAAAAGACTTTTTACAAAAATCAGAAGAAATTTGAGGAAAAGGAAGAAGAACAGATTGAATGGAAGATAAACCTATCAGGACAATTATGGGAAATTGGAGTAATAGGGAGGCGATCTAATGAATGCAAATGGGCTAGTTCTTCCAAAAAAACCTGCAACCAAATGGTCTTTCTTATTCCAAATAATATATATAATAATAGAGGGAGAACTATTTGATGATTCAAAGGCACTGACATGGAAGGTTAGTGGCAAAGGAAGAAAGCCAGAGTAAGGCTGAAGAAAATAATGGCTTTGATATTATATTACTAACTAGAGGGTTGAATATGGTGGAAAATACATAACTTTTAGAAAATAAAGTAACATTATAATTGAATAGGTAAGATGTGTAACAAGACTATTAGACTTTGGTATGAAAAGGGAAAAAGGGAGAAGTTGGGATAAGGGAAACTTTAGTCACCTAAAATCTTTGGAAATCATAAATAACAGTGTTTCCCCCCCTTTTTTTGAATATGGAGGGGAAATTAAAGTTTATGTATAGGATAAAAAGTATTGATAAATGTAACAAGAATTTTTTTTACTTAGTTGAAAATAAGAATTCTATTTGCCCAATATGAGATAACAGATATTACCAGAAAAAGAGAGGGAGTATTTGAGCTTCTAAAAATTAGACCTAAACTAAAAAAATTATGTTATTACTGATTTATTTGTTAACCCAGTCAATACATGTAATGGTTTTGACTTATTAGAGGGGATACTGTATTATTAATTAGATGGTTTAATATGGTGGAAAATAGATAACTTTTAGAAAACAGAACAAGACTATATTCAAATAAATAAGATGTATATTTAGAATATTAGACTTTGTTATGAAAAGGGAAAAAGGAAGAAGTTGAGATAAGAGAAACTTTGGTCACCCAAATATAAAATACTTGGGAATCATAAATAACAAATGTTAATTTGAATATTGATGGGAAATTAAAGCTTGGAGAGAAAAAAGCAATGACAGGGCATTGATTGTATATAAGGATCGAATGCAAACACAATTCAAGATATGTATAAGCTAAAAATTATTGATAAATGTAACAAAAGATGTTTTTATTTAGTTGGTAATAATAAGAACTATATTTGCCTAATATGAGATAGTAGATATTAAGGGAAAAAGAGAGGAAATATCTGATGTTATAACTTGAGATTTATACTAAAGACTTATGTATGCTATTGAACTATTGATTAATGCAGTCATCACATTGCTTTTTAAATACATAATTGTAAAATGAGAAAATTAATAAAATATTATTAAAAAACCGCCTTGACCCACCCATCCCCAATGGCAGCAAGTACACAATCTGATCAACCACTTGACTGCTCCATCTCAATCCAGGGCCCCCAGGCCTGCTGACAAAACCACGTATTCGGAGCCTTTTGGAAAAGCAATAAAGTGGGCAAATCATACCTCTGGAGTACTGATGATCCATGGAGCAAATCATACCTCTGGAGTACTGATGATCCATGGAGGAGTCACTAGCAAGTAGGCCCTTTATTTGGGTTTCACCAGTTGTACATATCTAATAGATGGGACCTGCAACATACCTGGCCTTGCCATCCTGGTGGGCCAGGTGGATATAATGGGGGAGACTCTGTCCTTCAAATAACATTCTTTCAATACACATTTATTGCTACTCTTCTTGCTTTGCTATGAATTCCCCAAAAGATGAATTAAATAGATTACACAATGAAATGCAATCTAGGCATGTTGTCAAGATTCAAGGTACCCTTAGCTGGCAAGAACCAAATGCCTGACATCAAGGAGGATTCAGTACCCTTAGCTGGCAAGAACCAAATGCCTGACA